CTTTCCCGTTACCGAAGGGCCATTCTTCACGAGTCGCTAAAGCTCCAAGAATCCACCAGAATGCACTGGAACTCTGGTAAAGACCATGCACAGAGGGATTTCTTCTGGTCTTTCATGCCGAGATCGACTCCAACCAGTCAGATGGCCAGTGTGTATGGTACGTATCTATGGGCGTGTACGTGCACACGTGCTTTTGTGTTTCTGTTTGTATAATGAATATACATATAAAACACACTTACACACATAAATAGATGGATTGGTAGATAGCGTTTCACTTTTAATTTTCCTGAACACAAATCAACTGATGGAGAAAAGATGATGACCAAGACTTTTCTGGAAGGCCTAAAAGAAGTGGGAACTGTTCATGGAGAAATGTAAATGAGGGACTAATTATTGCAGGTGTATGAGCTAGTTGGATCGATCAGGAGAACAAATTAGTAATACCCATCAAGAACTCTTAATGCGTTGGAAGGCTTGGATCTAGTGGTGTGCATTCTAGGATCTTCTTCCCCAAGTTAAAAATCAGGATACTAGAAAAAATGTATATGCACCAGTGTTCGCTGTTGCTTTATTTATCATCGAAAATATAAATTGGGGGGGGGGGGGGAAGGTCACCAGCCTGAATGCCCAATAACGGAAAGACAGATAAGTAAATCCAATCAATCACAATTTGTTCATGGGAAAGTGATGATCGCTGACTAGAAAGGCAATATGGCGGAGCGGTTCAGCATGTGACCTTTTGATTAGATTATGGGGGTTCGAATCCTGGCTTTACCACTTACTCATGGTGTAAGCTGAAGAAGTTAGCTTTTAATGCCTCGTTTTCCTTTTCTGTAAAATGGGGATAATGTCAGTAACTTACCCTATAGGCTTTTGTGAGGATTAATTCAGTTAGTACAGGAGGTCTTGGGGGCAGTCCCTGGTATATGCAAATGTTAAATGTTTTTAAGAAGATGGAGCATTTGCAGCCATTACAGGGCGTGTTTGGGGAAAATACCTAGTGATAAATGGGAATTTATTTGAGTTCATTTTTATTTTAAATTGAGGCATAACTTATAGAAGGTAACATTACATAAATCTTAAATGTACAGCTCATGAGTTTTTGCATATATATCGTGCCATGTAATTCCCCCACAGATAAAGATATTGAACATTTCCAGAAGCTTCCTTTCCCACTCAACACACACCCAGGAGGTAACTAGTATTCTATCACCATGCATTTATTTTTCTTCTTCTTTAACTCCATATAAATGGTACCAAACAGTATAGAGTCTTGGGTTTGGCTTCGTCCTCTCTATTAGATTCATTCATATTGTTGCATGTAGCTGTAGCTTTTTAAAAAAATTTTTTTTAACGTTTATTTATTTTTGAGAGAGAGAGAGAGAGGGAGAGACAGACTCCAAAGCAGGCTCCAGGCTCTGAGCTGTCAGCACAGAGCCCAACACGGGGCTTGGACCCATGAGATGTGAGATCATGACCTGAGCTGAAGTCAGCAGCTCAACCGACTGAGCCACCCAGGTGCCCTGAGCTGTAGTTTTTGTTTGTTTGTTTGTTTTTGAGTTTTATTTATTTAAGTAATTTCTGCACCCAATGTGGGGCTCGAGCTCACAACCCCAAGATCACGAGTCACATGTTTTTCTAAGCCAGCCAGTTGCCCTTAGCTGTAGTATTCTAAAGTATTATTATTATGGCAGTTAGTATCCCATGGCACAAACAGAGCACTTCTTTTTTAATCCTTACTACTATTATTGGACATCTGGTTTATTTTCAATTTGTGGTTATTATGAGTAAAGGTGCCATGAACATTCTTACACATATATTCACATAAGCACTTGGACATTGTTATGGGCTGAATTGTGGCCCCCACTAAATTCATGTGTTAAAGTCCTAACTCCTCGTATCTCAGAATGTGACTGTATTTGGAGACAGGCTCTCTATAGAGGTAATTAATTTAAAAAGATGCCATTAGGGTCTACCTTAATCCAATATGCCTGGTGCCCTTACAAGAAGAGGAAGTCTGGGGGCACCTGGGTGGCTCAGTCGGTTGAGCGTCCGACCTCGGCTCAGGTTATGATCTCACGGGTTGTGAGTTCGAGCTTTGTGTCGGGCTCTGTGCTAACAGCTCCGAGCCTGGAACCTGCTTCAGACTGTGTGTCTCCCTCTCTCTCAGCTCCTCCCCTGCTCACACTCTCACTCTCAAAATAAATGAACATAAAAAATAAAAATAAACGAAGAGGAAATCTGGACACAGACATTAACAGAAGGAAGGTGATTCGAAGATATGGGGGGAGACAGCCATCTCTAAACCCAGGAAGAAACACCTGGAGCAGAGCCTTCCCTCACAGCCTCAGAAGGAATAAAGCCCGTAGACTTTGACCTTGGACTTCTAGCCTCCAGAACCGTGAGAAAATAAATTTCTGTTGTTTAACCCACCTAACCTGTGGTACTTTGTTACAGCGGCCCTAGCAAACGAATACAGGCATAGATACACCTAAGAATGGAATTGTCAGGTCACAGATCTTCCTCCGCTTACGATGATATTAAGTTCTCAATAAGCCCACCATACCTTGAAAATATTACAAGTCGAAGATGCATTGGATACGCCTAACCTACGGAACATCGTAGCTGATAGCCTCTCCTACCTTAAATGTGCTCAAGTCCTTATATCAGCCTCCACTTGAGCAAAATCGTGTGATATAAAGTCTATTGTACAATTATGTGTTGAATGTCTCATGTGATTTATTGAATAGTGCGCTGAAAGTGAAAGACAGAACGGTCATGTGGGTAGAGAATGATTGTCGGTGTGTTTGTTGACCTTCATGGCTGTGTGGCTGCTGGGGGCCGTGGCTCACCGCCCCCGGCCAACATCACAAGAGAGGATCGGATCGTACGTCGGTAGCCTGGGAAAAGATCCAAATTCGAAACTGGAAATATAGATTCTACTGTATACCTGTCGCTTTTGCACCAAGGTAAAGTTGAAAAACCATCGTAAGTTGGGGACTGTCGGTATGTATGATTCATGCTGGTAAGTACTAGTTCTGAACAGCATGTGAGTTAAATTGAAAACTCGAGAAAAATTATATACACTTCATGTCTATAAACACACGTTTTGTGTGTTTATAGATATAAATATAGATACCGATATTTCCAGATAGAAATACAGGCTAATATAAATCATTGGTAGAAGGAAACTCCTCAGAAAGCTTGATGCAGATTTTTCTTCTTTTTGTCTGTTTTCTGTAATTAACACGACTTACTTATGCAATATAGAAATAGAATACTTACTACAAGTTTAATAGTGGCCACTCTGAACGATAGGATTAATGGCGACCTGTATTTTATATTACGCTGGGCTTTATATTTTCTGATTTTCTACAATAGACATAACTTACTTTTTTATAACCAGAGGAGAGAAATGTTCCCAATAATAAAAAGAGAAAACAGGAAGGAAATACAGTAATATGCTGCTGGCATTGATCTCTGGGTATTCACATCAAGGAAATCGGCAAACATTCCAGACCACGGCTTGATTTATTGTTCTCTTGACTCTCTCGATTGAAGGAAGTGACCGAAAAAAGGTTAATAATTTATTCAGGTCAAGGTTAAGAGTGTGTCATTTCTGTCACCATGACATTACAACAGCAAAAATTTGAGATTTACGATTTTTGCTGCCTTTTCTTTACCTGAATTATCTCGTTTTCCACCTCATATAGTGACCATATGTTACTTATAATAAGGGTCTGGGGAAAAGAGTTTCTTCTAAAAATGAGCGGGAAATTGGGGCGCCTGGGTGGCGCAGTCGGTTAAGCGTCCAACTTCAGCCAGGTCACGATCTCACCGTCTGTGAGTTTGAGCCCCGCGTCAGGCTCTGGGCTGATGGCTCAGAGCCTGGAGCCTGTTTCTGATTCTGTGTCTCCCTCTCTCTCTGCCCCTCCCCCGTTCAGGCTCTGTCTCTCTCTGTCCCAAAAATAAATAAACGTTGAAAAAAAAAATTAAAAAAAATAAATAAATAAATAAAAATAAAAATGAGCGGGAAATAAACCGCAAAGCTGTGAGTTCTAGAACGTGTAACAGTATCGTATGTCGACTATTGCTGATGACAGCTATTATGACCACACCCCTATCTATTATTTTCTGTGTTTATTGCATGCACTTCCGACCAAACTGTGATCCTTCGTCAACTGGAAGGTGCCTACAGATTTCAGGGATGTTCAAACGTGAGAGAGGAAAAATGCATCCTAGAATGGACAACGTTTGATGAGTAGCATCACACGCATCACGGAAGAAGCAAAGGGCTTTCCAGATCTCGGGGCTTGGGCAGGCCTCACTACCACACCGCTGTAGAGAGGATGGGGGGGCTGGGTGGGAGGAAGCAGAGCCCAAGGGGCAGACCGCAGCTGGAAGACGTGAGATCCTCACCCTGACCCCCACTCCCTGGTGGCCAAGGGTGAAAGAGTCACCCACTCAGCACGTGGTTCCCTCTCTAGAGGACACCCACTCACGGGGGCAGGGAACGGTGACGTTTAATTGGCTATAACGTCTGGAGAACACTTTGAAGATGAAAAGTGCCAGGTGGCTATCATCACCCTACACTTCTTAAGATGATACATGGAATAATAATAAAGTTCTCCCCCACTGGGCCTTTCATCCGTGGATTTCAAAGCACTTAGCGAACCTTAATTAACTCCCAACACCTCTATGAAGTAGGCATTAATAGCCTCTTGGCTGAGATGGAGAGACAAAGGAGGGCGAGTGACTGGCCCAGGCCCTCAGAGAGTCAGAGACAAGTCCTTGTGAAAGCATTCATTCCCGAGACCCACATCTGTCCATGCCTCTTGCGAAGCGCTAGAGACACCCCGGCTGGGGCTGGCGAGGCTCACAAGTGCCTGTGGTGAAACTGTAGGGAATTTTGTAAACCAGCTGTGAAACAAAGCCGTTATTTAAAATTCAATGAGATTGGTGTAACGTTAAATAAACTACGTTGAAAACAGAAGCGGTGAAAATTCAAAACGTCGCTACGTTTTACGGTTATCCGTGCTCGTTGGGTTAATTACACCTGTAGTAGCCGTAAGGTGGAAATGGCATCGTGTGGTGTGCTCTTGGGTGTCACTCCCCGATTTCCTGTTCAGTGATGTTCACGCTGGTCACCTGAAATCAGCCCCGGTCAGAGCAGGTACACCGAGGAAGCTGACAAGTGCTGCGGACCAAGGCTTGATTTGTTGTCCTCTGGACCATCCGCACTTAAGGAAGAGAGAGGGAAAGCGTTGATGATGCAGGTTCAGGCTAATAGTGTGTCATTTACGTCATTTTTTCCATGGTGAATACCATACAGAGAAACCTCGGGCGCCTGGGTGGCTCAGTCGGTTCAGCGTTTGCCTTTGGCTCAGGTCATGATCTCACCGTTCATGAGTTGGAGCCCCGAACCGGGCTCGCTGCTGTCAGCGTGGAGCCTGCTTTGAAAACCATTATCCAATTCAGGAAACGCGTCCCTCCCATCGCTGACTAACGAGGAAATTCTACATGCATCTACATCACTTCCCTCTCACCTTCCTTGTCACATCAGTAAGTGAAAATACCAGTCAACGTGCATGTCAGGACTATCTTTCTTCAGTCATGGGTTGGCTGCAGACGTTAAGAGCATGACAGAAATCTATGAAAAGCATCAGTTGGCCGTATGGAATGTACAATTCAAAAAATTTGTATTTTATTTAATTGTGCGTGACGCGTTCTTTATGTTGGTGCCCTTGATTATTACGTATGCTTTTTTTTTTTTTTTTTTTGAAAGCCTGATTTACTAACACACCATTGGTAGACCTACGCACGGGCAAGGCTCAGGCCCTGTCCCGATCAAACTGCCAGACGACCCGTACTTCTGGTGTGAAGAGCTATGGTGGCAGCTTTAGCGTGAAGCTGGGCTTCTGGGCCCATCAACCTACCTGGAAGGGGCCCTAGTTCTGTGTTCACGGGATCAAACATTTTGTAAAATTCACAAAGATGTCTGAATGGTAATTGTAAGGCCACGGCCTCTTTCCAGTCTGACTCGCCCTCTGTTTCACTGTGCCCCGTGTCCGCTAGCATTGGAGTGGCCTTGGCATTCTGGGGGACCCAGCCAAGAACCTGAATGGGGGATGCCTTTAGTTTGGGTTCCATGAGATGTATTTATGTCACTCACAGTCACGTCCACAGGTAAGGAAGCCAACAGTAGGCATTATAGTGGAGCAGTGGTCTCCAGGAAGAAGCCTACAGTCTATGTGCTAATCTGCTCAGCGTGATGAGCCCCAGAAATTGTGGACAGTGGACGACAAACGAGATTTGAAATGTGCGGAACCAGAAGCCAGCCTAGGGGAAATCCATCCAGCCATCGGCCACGTACAGTTGAAGCAGAAACTCTGATCCTCATTAATGTCTGGTCAAAACAAAAGTCCTCTTACCTCCTGATGGGAATAACCTGATGATGTAGCCTATACAATTATAAACGCACATTCTTTTCTTTTATGTATTAACTTACACACATTTTTAGTGTTAAGCATTACAAAAAATTTATTTTATTTTATTTTTTTATTTTTTTTTCAACATTTTTATTTATTTTTGGGACAGAGAGAGACAGAGCATGAACGGGCGAGGGGCAGAGAGAGAGGGAGACACAGAATCAGAAACAGGCTCCAGGCTCTGAGCCATCAGCCCAGAGCCCGACGCGGGGCTCGAACTCACAGACCGCGAGATTGTGACCTGGCTGAAGTCGGACGCTTAACCGACTGCGCCACCCAGGCGCCCCAAGCATTACAAAAAATTTAAATTCCAGTATAGTTATCATTAGTTTTATTTATTTATTTATTTATTTATTTATTTATTTTTAATTTTTTTTTTCTTATGTTTATTTATTTTTGAGAGAGACAGAGATAGAGGGTGAGCAGGGGAGGGGCAGAGAGAGAGAGGGAGACACAGAATTTGAAACAGGCTCCAGGCTCCGAGCTCTCAGCACAGAGCCCGAAGCGGGGCTCGAACCCATAAACTGTGAGATCATGACCTGAGCCGAAGTTGGACGCTCAACTGACCGAGCCCCCCAGGCACCCCCATTTGTTTTATTTTTTGATGGGAATTGCATAAAGCAGGATGTATCAGAATCCTGAGTCTGAATGGCACAAACCCGTAGCAGGACCACAAACCTCAAGTATGTGAGGTCGCATACTTGAAGTGTCCCAGCATTAAATGATAAACACATCTCAACCTGCTAATGGGAAGGATTTCATTATCTTTCTAATTTCCTATGGAAAATAACATTGCAAAATCATCGTCCTATGAAGAAGCAATTCAAGAATATGCGATCACGGGCCACCTGGGTGGCACATTCCGTTAAGGGTCCGACCCTTGGTTTCGGCTCGAGTCATGATCTCGTGGTTCGTGAGTTCGAGTCCTGCATCCGTCTCTGTCCTGACAACGTGGAGCCTGCTTGAGATTCTCTCTCTCCCTCTCTCTCTGCTCCTCCCCTGCATGTGTCCTCTCTCTCTTTCTCTCAAAATAAATAAATAACCTTTAAAAAAGAATATACATTCAAAACATGTAGGAATAAAATATAAAGGTGGGAGTTATTTAATGTAAACATGTGTAGTATTTGCCAGCTTGTAAAAGTTTGTAATTTTTGCAATTTATTCAATCCTTCTAAATAAATATGCGGTTTTATACCTAATTCTACATTCATAATTTGGATTCTTTTTCTTAAAGAAGATCTCCCCCAATGTATAGACATTTCAGCTGCCATGAAACCCAGGAGAGCCCCCTGCTGGGGTAAACACAGGTGAGCACCAGGACGGGTGGCTGCAGTGGGGGAGGTCACGGTGGGGGGAAGCTTTGTGGGAAAGATGCTTCTGACCCAGAGGGACGAGTGGGAAAGGGGGAAATTGCTGACCCTCCCTCCTCCCCTTTCTTTGTTCCATCCACCTTCCCTGTAGGACTGAGTGGTCAGAGCCCCAAGGACACAGTGAGTGAGCCCCCAGGCAGAAGAATACAGCCCCTCCTTCCTTCCCCAAGAGAAAGGGCTAGCCCAGAGGCACTCTTAGATGCTGGGATATGCCCCACTGTGAAAACATCCCCTGGTCTGCGGAAGGCAAATGACACCCCACTCCCACTGCCCACCCCACCCACGTGTCTTGTTTGGGTCGTAGGTTGGCTGCGATCCACCATGAAGAAAGCAGTACGTGATTGAAAGGTAAGGACTGCCAACCTGCAGGGGAGGGCAAAAGAAGTGTGAAAAGGGCACATGACTTAAAACAAGAGCATCATAATTAAAAAAAAGAAATACTGGGGCACCTGGGTGGCTCAGTCAGTGGAGCATCTGACTCTTGATTTCGGCTTAGGTCATGATCCCAGGGTCGTGAGATCGAGCCCTACATTGGGTTCTATATCGAGCACTGAGCCCGCTTAAGATTCTTTCTCTCTCTCTCCCCTTCCCTCACTCTCTCTCTCTCTCTCTCTCTCTCTAAAAAAAAAAATACATATCTACACACACACCCACATATATGTGTGTACATGTGTGTATGTAAGTATATGTGTTAATAGTATATGTATGTGCATATACATATGCATATCTATATTTATACCTTTATACCTTTATAGTGTGTGTGTGGAGTATTCCAAACAGATTCCAAACTACAAGGATGTGAACACAATCCCATATCCTAGCAAGCTCCACTGAGGCCTAACCTCACCCAAGACCTCTTTCCAAAGACTTCCCAGAGAATTCTGAGTCTTCAAATGGCACGATTGGGATTTAGACTTTTCCGTGAGACTAAAGTCCTGCCGTGTTAGGAAAATCCTAGACTCAACCCTGAGACTTGAAAGCAAGCAGCACCTCAGATAACCTCTTGCCACCTGGCCCCCTCCTGAAACCTTGGCCCTGACCCCTTCCGTCCACATGTCTGGATTACAGCAGTGTTTTGGCCACTGAGTGGGATGATGGGACACTGCCTGACTCTTGGACACCCATTGGACACCGGTCAGAAGACAGGCCTATCAGAGCAGTAAGTTAGAGGATGGTCCAGAAGCAGCTTTCATCTTGGGAAGCATATTTAGGAGGACATGTAACTCCTAACAGAGTTCCCCAGCTGAGAGGCAGTGAGAGTCCAGCCAAGTTCAAGAACACATTCCACCAGTCTCAACCAACAAGGCCAAAGGCCAAGCAGAGAGGGCCAACATCTGTCGACTGGACAGTATGTGCACCTGCCCAGTCCGGCTTCCCCAGTCTGTCCCCTCCACGCTCATCACTTCCCTCCCACACTGTCACAGAAGAAACCATTTTATGTCACACGCGATTGGTCAAAAGCAGGTGCCTGGGCTGGCCTGGGCCAATCACACTATGTTCCTAAGAAATCTGAGACTCAACCCGGAAAGAGAGCCAGGTCTCTGGTGGCTGAAGTTGTGTGTATGAGCCCGTGGAGCAGGGTGGCTGGGCTACATGTGGTCCACTGTATGGACAAAGCCCATGAGAGGAGAGGGGGCCTGGTGGAGGCAAGACGGAAAGGTGCGGGGTAGAGCTATCTCAACAAAGTCTCAGTTCCTGGTTCCACGTGGTCCTGAGCCCCTCCCCTGCTCTCTGCCTCTCTTACTGTTCTTTGGACTTCATATTACTCCTCAGTATTCTTCCAGGAAAGTCTCTCTTTTTGCTGAGCTAGTTGGACGTTAGTAGCTTGAATAGAATAGTCCTATTATAACCGCAAAGGATGCTAAGTTGACTCTTTCAAAGAGCTTTATGGGGCTTCTACTTAAATGTGCGGTCTGATGTGTAAATTGTGGGCACATGGTTCCTGAACACTGAAGGTTAACCATCAGGGTGATGCTTGAATCCCAAAGATAAAACCCAAGCACACATCCAAAGTCGAAAGATGATTTCACACAGAGTTAGAGTTAGAAGTAAACTTTTAAGGCCGCCTAATCCAGTTCACATCTGGCACCTTTCTACTTCCCAAAGGACTTCAACCCATTTTCAGAATGTTATTGTCGAAAGATCTTTCTAGGCTGAGACAAAAATCTGCTTTCTTATAACTTCCAACCACTGGTTCTTAATTATATACCCTGGAGCTCTACAAAATAGATCAAAGTCTTCTTCCAAATGATAGCACCTAAAATATTTAACATCAAAATACTGTTATTATTATTCCTATTTATTGAGCAATGACTACAAGCCAGCGCACGTTCGTTGCTTTTAATTCTCATTGCATGCTGAGAAGGGGATAGTATGCAGAGCCTCAGTTTACCAGCGAGGACCCTGAGATCATGTGGGATGATGCTGAGCGCGGAGACTGAAGGGAGGCAGCTCACAAGCTAGGAGCTGGATCCTCAGATGTCACCACCTTCCAACAAGAAATTCCTAGGGACCTAGAACCTGAACCTGGCCTTCCAGGTCATCCTGAACTTATATATGTCATGAGGAGACGATGCGGCTCACTTCACAGTGTTTTGGCTTGATTGCTTTGAATGTCTAGCTATTTGGGCCTGTGGTGGGGAGGGTTCTGAGCCGGGCAAACACTAGGGGCCAGCCTGGTGGAAACTGCAGGAGAGACCGCCTCTTGGTGAACGGCAGCTGAACATTCTCTTCCATCTCAAGTCCTTACTGTATACTCTTCAGAATTCTATGGCCTCAGGGGGTTCCTGCAAGGACAGGGTTGGTGGGACTTGGCCTTTTGTCCACATCTCCAGCCCACTGTCGCTGGCTTCTGGCCCTCCAGTCTCAGATGCCCTAGGCCAGCGTGGCTGAAATCCCAGGTCGACACGTAGGGGGCACATTTTCTACCCATGGAAAACAAACCGCCCAAAACATACTGGGGTAAAACAACCACTATGTTATCCTGACAGTTTCTCTGGACAGCAACTTGGACACAGTGAGGGTAGTTCTCTCTGTTTCACAACGTCAGGTGCGTCAGAGGGAAGACGACGCAGTGGCACATCCAGCAGGGGCTGGGATCGTCTGCACGTATCGTCCCTCACACATCTGATGGTTGATATCAGTTGTCAGCGGGGCTGTTGGCCTACGCATGGCCTCTCTATGTGGCCTTTCCACATGGCGAGTCTGGGCTTTCTCACAGCACGTGGCTAGGTTTCGAAAAGCCCAAAGAGGGGCGCCTGGGTGGCTTGGTCGGTTAAGCGTCCGACTTCGGCTCAGGTCATGATCTCACGGTCCGTGAGTTCGAGCCCCGAGTCGGGCTCTGTGCTGACAGCTCAGAGCCTAGAGCCTGTTTCGGATTCTGTGTCTCCCTCTCTCTCTGCCCCTCCCCTGTTCATGCTCTGTCTCTCTCTCTCTCTCTCAAAAATAAATAAACATTAAAAAAAAATTTTAGAAAAGCCCAAAGAGAGCAAGAGGGACATGCATGCATTTTCGTGCTTTCACTTCGAAGTCATCGGACATCACCTCTGCCATATTCAATTGGTTGAGGCCATCACAAAGGTCTTCCCAGGTTTGAGGGAGAGTATGTGGACCCCACCACTCAAGGGGAGGATTGATTGTCACAGTATATAAAGAACACGTGGGATGGGAGATGCTGGTGTGGCTCTTTTGGGAAAGAACAATTTGCCACAGGGAGGTAAAGAAGGGGGAACAAAAAACCACTCAAAGAGACCCTACTCTGTATCAGATTCTCTGTACCGAGAGCCACCGACCTTACCGTGTGGGGGCACCTATTCTGATTCTGCAGATAGGAAAGCTGAGACTCCGAGGGATTCGGGTACTTGTTCAAGACCACACAGAAATCGATGGTGTATACCAGTGGCTCTTAAACTTGAGTGAGTTCATCCTTGGACAACCAGCCCCAGAGATGTCAATTCAATAAGTCTGGGAAGGGACCCAAGAAGTCACATCTCTAACAAGTTCCTAGATGGTGCCAATGATGCTGGCCCAGTGATCACCCTCTGAGAACCATTGGCATGTAGTTTTCGAATCTACACCCAGGTAGACTTGTACCCTGTCATACAGTGTGCCGTGGAGAGCAATGCTTCCAAAGGAACGCTGTGAGATGCCATCAATAATAACACAAGAAAGATGTATCTAAGTTGGAAACGCTTCACTCTGACAACCCACAGACGTCCTCTTCCACGGATACTGAGGGCTGGAAGTAAGAGATATACCTGAAGCCCAAAGGACCTGACCCCGAGCTTCCTTCATGGACTAGGACCCTGTGAAGAGGCCAGAGAGGTCAAAAGAGACCTCTTTTGGAGGTGGAGGAAGAGAAAGGGTAGTGAGTAGTCTTCAGGGTTTTCTACCCTGTGTTTCCAATTCTTGCACATCTAAGATTGTACTTTCGGGCCCGCCTACTGTGGGTGGGAGCCGGTAGGTAGTTCTCGCCAATGAATCCAAGAAAAAGTGGTGTTGCTTCCATGCTGGAGCATTTAATTGCCAACGAGAGACCCTTCGGGGCTCTCTCTTCCCTCCGCTACAATAGCTGGGAATGTTCATGACGGTGGCTGCTGTGTCAGCCTGCCACAGAACACCTGCCAACCCGTGATGGACACACGCGGGGAGTGAGCCGCGGACAGTTGCTGAGATTTGAAGGATTTTTGTTACTGCAGCAAAAACTAGCCTTTCCTAACCGATACGGGAGAAAGGAAAGAGAAGGAACATCCAAGGAGCATTATCAATAGATCCAAGCGAGACCGATTGGAAGAAATAAGTCCACATTTCTGCAGTTCAAGGCCACAGTCTCTGGCTGCTGTGAAATCTATGACCTTCTTATGGTGAGATTCTTTTGCCTCTCTTCCAGATTTTGCAGGCTAATCGGGGGTGGGGGGAGCGGCTTGGACCATCTGTTCTTTGTCATTCCTGACCCCAACTCTTGGCTTTAACCTGTTCCAGCAAGATCTGGTCCCTTTCACATGGATCTGGTCTGAAGGGCAACTTCGATACTGGCCTAGACTCAGATTCTAAGCCTCCTTCTCCTCACTTACCCTCGGCCCCGGGTCTGCTCAGCCACACACTCTGTCTTCTGCAGGTCAGCAAAGACGCCAAGTCTTTGTCAATGCAGTGCCACTGGTGCTCCCCCTGCCCCCCCTGCTCACTGAGTGTCCTTTGGAAGATGCCCGGGGCTGACAGCCAGCATGCATGGCATTCCTGAAAGTGTGCTTTGCCAGGCAGGCTGAAGGGGAAGCTTTGTGCTGCTAGGTTCCCGGCTCCCAGCACCCCGCCAATGATCAAGGGGCCTGGTTCAGACCATCACCTCGCCTGATGGAAACAGAGGGCCCGAGTCCAGGCAGAAGCAGCTGAGACCCAAGCCTTGGGGGCTGGTGGAAGGGGGGGGGTGGGGCTGGAGCTAGCCTGAGCCCTTCCCCCACTGCCATCTGCTCCTCAAGGGTTTTACTGCTATCTGGCTAAGTTCAAGAGAGAAAAAAACAAAGCAAATTAGTGAAAAAATAACATGAAAGGTGGAAACAATTTGTGTTTAGAATCCGATTTCTTTTAAATATATTTTCGCCATCTTTAGCTCTACGGTCCCATGTTTCATCAAACATTGAAAACTTTGAAACTTTCATCATACTTTGAAAAAGAGAACCAAAGAAACGTTGGCATGCCCTTAGTGCAATCGGGGGTCACTCCAGGAGTCTCTGAAGTCTAGAAGCCTTCCATGCCTTCCTGACATCATGCCAAACCGTATCCTAGGCTCCATCCTTCTATGCAACAAGGTCATGTGACTTAGGCTCAGCCAATCAGAAACACCTTCATGGGACGTGGATTCAGGAGTGATTCCAAAAATCAGGCCCAGCACAAAATCCGTTTAGTAAAAGATGGCTGTGTAAACATCTGGTTTCTAGCATAGACCCCAACGTGCCAGAGGCAGAGGCTGTATCTGCAGTGGGGTCCTGGGCTCTGCCTACCATTGTCCTAAGGAGTGGCCAGTTGGATGGACCAATTCCCTCATTCAAAAAAATATTAACTGAGCACTTGCTGTGCCCCAGGCAGGCCATGACAGGACCCTGCCCTCATGGGGTTTACAATACGTTCAAGGGCATCGACTTTCACCAGATAATCACAAACTAATGTAACGTTGCAGTTGTAGCAAGTACTTTGAAGAAGAAAAACCAGAGTAAATAGGTGCTTCAAACTTGGGAGATGTGATCCCACCAGGGAGGTAACAAAGGCTTACTGAAGAAATGACACTTGCAGCAGAAACAATGCTATGTGGTCATCAGACTTCCGTTTTCCTCCTGGGCACATAAGAAGATCACATTTCCTGGCCTTTCGTGCATCTGGTGGGTCCATGTGACTAGGTTTTGGCCAATGGCATAAAGGCAGAATGAGGGAAGCCATTTCCAGCAAATATCCTACATGCAATCTTCTACAGTGTCACTTGGCCATCTCCAAAATGGCAGAGCCAGATGATGGGAAGATTCTGGATCTCCGAGTGGTTGCTTCGAGGAGTCACCTGGGAGAGCTGAGAGACACAGCAGACTGTAGTGGTGGTAGGAAACAGACCTTTGTCGTGTTAAGCCATTGAGTTTCAAAGGCTGTTTGTTACCACACCTTAGCCTATCCTACCCGAACTGATACACTGTTGGGCAGAGAGGGATAAGAAGGGATAAAGAAGGAATAGGGGTTAAATATATAAAGAGAGAGGAGATGAAAACATTCTGGGCAGAGAGAATGGCCCTTTCCAAAGACTTTTGATGGGAGGGAGACGGCGAGAAGGAGAAACTGGAAAAGGCCAACGAGGGTGGATGGAGTGAGTGACGGTGGGGTTCAGAAGAAGGCTATGGAGGGTGGCAGAGATATGAACCACTGGCCAAGCGTAAGAGTCATGTCTGCAAGAGTCGTGCGTGCTCACATTCCTACTGCCCAGATACTCTGGCTGGGGTCCTGTCTGTTTGTTTTCAAGCCAGAGACCCTGGAGTTCTTCACTGTTAGCCTTCCTCACTCCCAGATGCTGATGGCCCTGAGAAGAAGCTGTACTTTTCCATTCTACAGTAAGCTGCCCACATCAAAGCCCAAGAAGCCACAGGCATTTGGGGAGTCGTGGGTCAGATATTTAATTATTCTAATCTAGAAGTCTACTCTCCCCACCCTGCCAAGAACACAAAGTTCCTTTTTGAAAACTAGGATAGTTCATTGGAAGGCTTGAATCTCATCCTTGATCACAAAGCTCTCAGACTCACCTCAAGACCCCCAGAGCTTGAGAACACACAGAAGCCTCCCCTCACCCACAGTCATGGACCACGCAGGAAGCCTCCAGTGTTTGCAGAGGGCGGTGGTAGTTGTTTGCTGTTTTTATTTACTTTTAAGAAAAGCCACCTTCAAAATGGAGAGATGAGAGCGGGCCTATATTTCCAAACACCTTTTGTTGATCCGATTAAATCAGATAAAGAAATTACTATAAAAATATTGCCTCATCTACAAAGCTTAGGATATTTTTTCCCTTTTGCTCTTTTTTTTTATCTTTGAGAAAGATAATGAAAGAGGAAGCTTGAAACCCCATTTCTATTGATGTTCGAACATACTGCTGGATTTAAGAACCAGAAGAGATCAAAGGGAATGGGTCCCATTTCGATAAAATTATAGCAGCTCTGGAAGAGGGTGTGGGGCTCATTGAGGAACTCAGCGGCAAGGAGTTGTTAACACACCTTCATTTGAGCCAAGGACAGAAGGAAAAATGCCTGGGATTCCGGGGGATTAATTAGGAGCGTGGCTAATAACGTTATAGCAGCTGCACACGCGTTCGGCTGATGCCTTTCCCGCAGCAAACCCTTCAAGTCCTCGACAGAAGTCCCATCCAAAGGAGAAATGGATGGTGGTGACTCCAGCCTAGTTCCAAAGGAGACTTCTGTTCTGAAATTTTAACTGGCCTTGGGTCCTTATATCTGTTCTCATTGGAATCTGGGGTGAGAGGAACAGAGGTGGAAACAGCGTGGCGGGGAAGGAACCCAAAACAGTTCCTACCAGCTTTGACTAAATCGCTTACTGTTTCCCTCTTAAAATGCATCTTCCAGTAGATTTCTGTTTTCCCTCCAACCGCCAGAGTCGGTGGGGGCTTCTTGCCCGACACCTGATTATCCAGTGGCTAGGCTGTTGGGCGGGTGTGGCAAAGCAGGTGGAAATATTTGGGCAAAACCCACCTGGGTGGGTTCTCGTGAACACACTCTCGATGGCTGCCTTATTGGCCGGCGCTGATATTAAGAACTGATGATCTGGTTATTGTAATAGCTCTGTAGGGTGCCTGATGGTGGCTGTGCTTGTGGTGAGCACAGCATAATGTATAGAGTAGTGGAGTCACCGAGTTGCACATCTGAAAGGCATGTCATATGGTGTGTCAACTATACTTCAGCTTAAAAAAAGAATGAAAGGAAATCACAGCGAAAGAACTGAACTGTAGTGTGAGAATTCACGCCTCTCCGAGTAGAGATGAGAAAGCACCCCTGTTTGTTTGTATCGAATGGTAACATGAACATTTCAGGGTGCCGTCCCAATCCTTTGCTCCTGTATCCATGCCAATCTAGAGAGCAGGGTGTCAAAAAGCCCCGATAACCATTTTCATCCTAAAGTAGTCATTGCAATTGAAAACAAACACTCATGGATGCCACTTTCAACCATCAGCTGAAGTAGGATTCCACACATACCAAATGTTTTTGGTCTTGGCTTAATTCACACGTAACCAGGAAGGTGAACTGATTTCCAAAAGTCGGTAGAATCAGTTTTTAAAGCATGAGTTGTCCCTGCTTCTCCACTGCCACTTTAATGGAAGAAACGATAATATTACTAATAGCTAGAACTGGCTTAGCGACCAGTAAGTAAGGCATCGTACTGCGTGCTTGACATTCAATGTGCCATTTAAGCTATGCAGAACTTGGACATGAACCTTCGCTTTAAAAAAATTAGCCATCCCGCAACCTTGGTGAGACCTAGGTTGGTCTACCTACAGCTGAATGCATCAATGGTGAAGGCAGGATTTCTAACGCAGCAGCAAATAATAGTCCAAAATTTAAACCAACCGACCAACAAAAAAACAACTCTTATTCTCCCAGGGAATACTCGTTTCTCACATCTTGGAAAAGCATTAATAGAAAAACACCTCGTTATTCAGTGCAACCTATTGACAGTAGCATAATGTAGTTACCCCACATCATGTTCTTGCTAAATGATAGGCACAGAGCTGAGCGTTTTACATACACCATCTCATGTAATCCTCACAACAATCCCATGAAGTACGTACTTCTGTCTGTTTTTCAAATAAGGAAAACTGAGAATCAGAGATATGAAATATTTGCGGAGTTCACACAGCCTCTGAGTGGTAGAAATAGGATTTGAAACCACGGCGTTCCGGGGCGCCTGGGTGGTGCAGTCGGTTAAGCGTCCGACTTCAGCCAGGTCACAATCTCGCGGTCCGTGAGTTCGAGCCCCGCGTCGGGCTCTGGGCTGATGGCTCAGAGCCTGGAGCCTGTTTCCGATTCTGTGTCTCCCTCTCTCTCTGCCCCTCCCCCGTTCATGCTCTGTCTCTCTCTATCCCAAAAATAAATAAACGTTGAAAAAAAAATTAAAAAAAAAAAGAAACCACAGCGTTCAGAATCGCGTTCCACGATCCACGTGTTTCCCTTTACTACCACCATAGTTGTGATTCCCATCATGACTCACTTCTACCCCAGTGGGTTCCTCCTCTAGTCCCAGTCTTCTGCAAGGTACCAGCATCCAGGCATCCCACCCAAAGACCCATGAGTTTTGACCTCCATGTTTTGCCCTACCCAATATTAAAAAAAAAAATTTTTTTTAATGTTTATTTATTTTTGAGAGACAGAGACAGAGCATGAGTGGGAGAGGGGAAGAGAGAGAGAAAGACACAGAATTGGAAGCAGGCTCTAGGCTCTGAGCTGTCAGCACAGAGCCCGATGTGGGGCTCGAACTCACGAGCTGTGAGATCGTGACCTGAGCTGAAGTCAGACGCTTAACTGACTGAGCCACCCAGGCGCCCCTGCCCTACCCATCTTTAATCCATCATCAAACCCCAGCTCCCATCCCATTATCTCTTAGTGAGTGCCCCCTCTCCACCCCCCGCAGGAGAAAAGTGCTAGTTGTATACAGATGTTTGTTACCTCTTTGTAATAGTAAGAATTTAAAGGCAAAAGAAATGTCGAATGTGGAAGAGTGACGAGGTAAATTTCAGTGTGATTAACTCAGTGGTCTATTAGGCAAATGCAAAAGCAATAAATATGGTCACTAGGTAGAATGTTGGAAAATATACAGGAAATAACGCTGAATGAAATATTTATGCTCCACAATTATGGCTACATAAAAACTTACATTTTTACAGATGAAAAATGGAGAAATGTAAATAATGTATATGACTGATTCGTGGGGTTATGGCCCTGGCTTCTTTCACGCGTTAGGGCTGGATGAAAATGTCCTTGAGCTCTTTCGACGCATCCTAATGAAGGCAGTGGCTGTGACTGTGAAAGGGGGGACTCCAACCCCAGACCCGCGCAAGGAGGGGCTTCCTGCCTCTTTCGCAGAATGGAACGTAAGGGAATCTTCCAGCTCCCCAGACAGGGGCATGACTGCCCCGTGTCAGAAACAGCTGGCAGAACCATCAGAGGCCTCACCATCCAGAGACAGAACCAGTCCTTGTCCCCCTTATGCAGGCAGCCCTGGGTCCTGGTCCCTGAGAGCTAAGGATAGAGCTCGTCCAAGGTCCAAACAGCAAGTCGAGGCTCCCAGCCTCAGAGAAGAGTACAGATCAGGACGCTGAGGAAGGCAAGTGGAGAATTCAAGAGATTTCTACCAAAGATGGGATTCAGACCCCAGAGGGCATGGAGCCTGGCCTCACTGGTCTGTGGCTGATCGAGGGGAGGCTCCAATCTTGGGGCCCAGCCAGTCTGCTTCTCTGCTGAGCCCACGTGGCATCACCTCCTTTCTTCTCTTTTGTGCCCTTCCTCCCTTTCATCCTGCGTGGCCCCAGTCCTGTCAATGACACCCAAGGGTACGGTCTAGTCCCTCAGCGGGACCCGACACTCACCCATGGTTGACTCACCAGGATGGGTCCCTGAACTTGTGGGTGGACTTGTCAGTCTCGTCCCTACTGAGCGGTCCCAGGCGTGTGTGAGCCGTCCTGTGAGGAAACACCACTTCTTTGCAAACAGGTGCCCAACAATGCCTTTCATCTGGCTGTACACAGAAGGGACCGAGAACCAGGGCTTTGATCAAAACACAGTGGACGGGAAGCCAGCAGGAGCCCCACTGTCCCTCTCCGCCATCTCGGACTTGTCTTCTGAGCAGCTGCCTTCGGATTTTTTTAACAGCATTGTTCAGGGAACAGGGGGTTTTGCCAGGGCTGGCACTGGACTCAAAGGGGTTTGAAACTGGGAGGCTCAGAATCACAATGACGGCTCTTAGCCTTTCCTCTCTTGGCAGGTGTCCTCCATCCATGAGAAGACGGACAAATCCCACCTACAGAGAGGCTCACCGAGGAGAGGCCAGAATTAATTAGCAAGGAGATGTTGTTATAAACAACAGTTCCTTAAGAAGGGCACTCATTGCTTTCAAGCCCAAAGGTAAATCAAATTAGGCTAATCCAGGATAGACTAGCAAGAATCTGCTTCAAGGAAGACAAATAGTCTGTGTTTCCGCACATCACGTGTACGTCAGTAGGTTCACCCACGTTCCCCGGGGCCTGCAGATCCTGAGACGCTGTTTTAAATATGCTGCTTTCCCTCTTCAGTTTTGCAACATGGTGCTGTTATTGTCATTGCCACTGTTGATTTAAGGCAGGGCGTCTCTGCCTGGGCGCTGTTGACAGGTGCCGTGACTCATTCTCCATCGCGGGGACTGTCCTGTGCCTTGTAGGATGGAGAGACGCTTCCCTGGCCTCAACCTTCTAGAAGACAGTAGTAGCCCCACCTCAGCTGTGACAACCAGTAATGTCTCCAAACACTACCTGGCATCCCCCGGGGGGCAAAACTGCTACCCCACAGTCTGAGAACCATTGATTTGGGGGGGGGGGAGTGAAAGGGGGGGGCGTCTGCTCACTTGAAGTAGAATTCAACCGAGCTCCTGCCCAAATGATCGCTTCCCCATAAAGGGACCTCTCTAGGGACGGCACATCGCTCTTTCTGTTGGAACTTGAACGGAAAGATAAAGCTTCGAGTGCTGAAACATCTAGAAAGGAGAACGTGCTACACAAGACAGGCTGTTATGGTCGGTCACATGGCACATTTGCAATGTCGTTGCTTTAAAATTTCTTTTAATCTTTATTTTTGAGAGAGAGAGAGAGAGAGCACAAGTGGGGAGGGACAGAGAGAGAGGGAGACACAGAATCCGAAGCGGGCTCCAGGCTCCGAGCTGTCAGCACAGAGCCCAATGTGGGGCTCGAACTCACGGACTGTGAGATCATGACCTGAGCTGAAGTCGGACGCTCAACTGATTGAGCCACCCAGGGGCCCGTTTGTTTTTTTTTAACGTTTATTCATCTTTGAGAGACAGAGCATGAGAGGGGAAGGGGTAGAGAAAGGGAGACACAGAATCCGAAGCGGGCTCCAGGCTCCGAGCTGTCAGCACAGGGCCCGACGCGGGGCTTGAACTCACGAACCACGAGATCATGACCTGAGCTGAAGTCAGATGCTTAACCGACTGAGCCACCCAGGTGCCCCACAGTGTCGTTGCTTTTAAAATGGCCCTTGGGTGAGCAGGAGTTCTCACACACTTACCCAACAGATAAAGTAAGGGAACTTTTTCCTTTAAGGGGGAAAAAAAAAAGAAATTCATCTCGTGATATCTTGAAATGAAGCCCCGTAGAACATTTCCAGTGTTTGGTGTTATTAGCTCGACGGACTGTCTGGGCTGCAGAGGAGCTTAGAAGATTAGTCAGAAATGAAGGCGGCATTTCTGAAATTCTTACGCATGTCGATTTTGTGTAAAGTGATATCCGTCCCCATTGTGTTACCTGTGGCTTTTCCAGCTGTACCTATGAACAAAAGTGAGGTTCGCAGAAAAAAATGATCTGAATTCCTCTCCCCCGGGGAATCTGGAGTATGGGCCACAAGCCTATATTTACTGTTCCTACAAGGGATGTCCTGTTTAGTTAATAAATGCATATAATGAACATGACAGGCCAGGTGCTGCCCTAAGTGGTTCATAAATATTAATCCATTTCATAACAGTTCTGTGAAGTAAATACGATCCTGGTCCCCATGTTGTAAGCGGCCTCACAGAGGCACAGAGAAGGAAAGCAGAGGGCCCGAGGACACACGGCTGGTAGGGGCGGGGCCCCCATGTCGTGATACTTCGGAGAATCTTTACAAAGCAGAGGACGAGCTGGGATCGGCCTTCTTGTCCCATTTCTATCGCTTTCGATTTGCCCTCACGTAGACGGCTTGGCTTTGCTGGGCCCAGTTTCCCCAGCCGGAAAAAGGATGGACTGAGATCAGCGTTTGTGTCCCAGGGCGTGATGTCGTTACTAGCGGAATAAGGGATTATTTGGGGTCATATATGGATAGACATTTTTTTCATTGTTATATATTTTTTCATGTCTATTTAATATATATAATGTATGTATATGTGTGTGTGTGTGTGTGTGTGTGTATAAAACAGATAAATATTCTCTCTCTTTGTGTTTTGATCCCTACATATATACACAAAATGTCCCCAAACCTGTGATATCAAGGCTGTCGTATGGGATGAGACCACCGTGGACAGTGGCATCAGAGTTGGGAACTGAGCTCAGAGCACAGAATCAGAAAGCTGACAGACAAGGTGGGTCCTTGACCCCCACAGTCCCCGCCCTGCCCATGTCAACGCAGTTGGGTGAGGATAACTCCATCCAGGGCCTCCCGGGCCTGGCCACACTGAGTGCCCTGGAGAGGGGCACGTGATCCAAATCAGCCATCGAGGCCTCCCGGGGCTTTTGCCGGCACAATGGGAAAGGCCAGCACTGCCAGAGCATCTTACCACCATTAAGAGGTGACAGGGAGGGGCGCCTGGGTGGCGCAGTCGGTTAAGCGTCCGACTTCAGCCAGGTCACGATCTCGCGGTCCGTGAGTTCGAGCCCCGCGTCGGACTCTGGGCTGATGGCTCGGAGCCTGGAGCCTGTTTCCGATTCTGTGTCTCCCTCTCTCTCTGCCCCTCCCCCGTTCATGCTCTGTCTCTCTCTGTCCCAAAAATGAATAAACGTTGAAAAAAAAATTAAAAAAAAAAAGAGGTGACAGGGAGAGGACAGAGACACAGAGGGGCCGGGAGAGGCAGACAGGCCCCCCCCACCCCCGCCGTCTCAGGGCACCCCCTGAGTCTCACAGCCGGCTGGGCAGACACCAGATCTGGCCCTGGACCTGTCCTTTACGTAAGACACACGTCTTCCCCTAGTTTGACTTTGGGTTCTGTTCCTCGCAGAGTCTCCTTTATCACAGGTATGAAGACGGTCTGGGGACTTTGTGACCAGCTGCTGTTTCCTAGTACAGGTGCTGACAGCATCATCGAAAAAGCCACAGCAACTTTGGTGGGGAGAGAGGAGAGACTGGTGTCGCATCCATTCCTCTGCTGGAAGTGACATCTGTGTGTCTCACCATGTGTCAGACAGCACGGGAGACAGAAGAGAAGCAAACCTCAGGATTGACTTCCCCAAGCCTCAGTTCCTCATCTGTCAAATGGGAATCCTAATGTTTCCTGGGCTTAGATGGCATGACATCAGCAACCTGTCTAATGAAGTGTCCTGGCCCAGAAAACGGTCGTGATTGTCATCTTGGTTTTTTATAAGGTATTGCATTGAATGTCACCCTTACCCCAACCCCACACTTCAAAACCATCAACCCCATTTTACTGCAGAGGCACCGGAATTCAGAGAACTTAGGTAACTTGTCCACTTGTCATTCGAGCCAGGTCTGACTCCCCTAACCCAAGTCCTGGGTGCCTTGAAATAACATCCCAGGGTCCAAAGCATGATCCCAAGGAGCCAATCATCAGAGGCAAAGGGCGTGAAGACCACCGGCGGTGGCGAAGAAGTAAGACAAGATAGTAAAGCGAATTCCCCAAAGAGCTCTTTTATATCCTGCCCACCTTGGAAAGTTCCTTGGAAAATCCTGGGGCTAAGGCTTGGAGGAAAATCAGCTTCATGGAACAAAGGTATAGAATAATCCAGCAAAGCGCCCAGTCCCGATGCATCAAGACGAGCTGACATTAATACACGACCACAGATCCCAGATGTTGTTATGGTTGGATTACACGGACTCGGAAAGTTCCGGCATGAAATGCCTGAACGATAACAATAGAAAACAGATCAAAAGCCCAAAGAAAGAAATGAGGAGAAATGAAAAACAGAAGGAACTGCTGGGGAAGATGAAAGCAGAGAATTTCAATTTGACACCAAAGTGGAGCCAGTGTTTAAGGTTTTGCTGGCAGTTGACCCATATCCAGATGAGATTTTTGCAGCATTATATTGGAGGTATGAAATTACCATCTTTGAGTGGTTTCGTAGACTTCTGGGACCTCAGGGTCAAAAGAGTCCGCCAGCAGTCTCCTAAGCTCACCTCTCTCTTTAAATAATCTTGGAGGTGGCCAGTGCTTGAATCTGCACAGACCCTGTCATGATGAGTTCCTCCGTAAAGACCAGGGAGGTCAGCAAGCCAGAAGGGGGATTGAAGACACAATCCCCCCTGGCCAGCTTCATATGTCTCATTGTACCATGGATCGGAACACTCTCTGTGTCTCAGTTCAGATGACAGAGAACCCAATTTACACCGACTTTAGCAGAAACCTATCGAGCAGAATACGTTTAGAGAAAACGTGTTGGCTCAGACAACTGAAATGTTAAGCGATGCTCTAGCTTCAGGTATGGTTTGATCCAGGAGTTTAAAAGATGCTACCTGGACTCAGTCTCTCTGTGCTACTTCATGTTTATTTCATTCTCAAGCTTCACGTAGAGATGCGATGGCAAATTTCAAGCCTGTGTCCTTCCAGGTTTGAGCCCAGCAAACGTCTTTCCCAAAGAGTCCCAGCAGAAGACTCATCAAGACCCACTGGCCCTAATCATGTCATAAACCCAGCCCAGTAGCAAGAGGGACATGATGCTCTGATTGAGCTGGGTCACATGCCTGTACTTAGAACAGGTAGTAAAGTCAACTCCATCCCCAGATTGAGAACCGAGATGAGAGTTTCTCCCGAAAAAGTGGGTTCCCATCTTTGGGAGGCGGTAAATGAATGCTGGAAATCAACGCCAAGGGAAGTCCACTACTCCACAACCCAGCCCTGTCCCCTGAATACGACTCCCC